TTTATTCATACTCTTTTGAATAGAGAAACAACCCAGCACTCTTGGATCAATAGCCCTCAAAAGCAAAGACTTTCTAAAATTAAAACAAAATGTCGCCCCTTCTTTTGCGATGTTCTTCAGGAGGCAGCAAACACTTTTCGTTGTTGTCCAGTGGGGGATGGGGCTGCCCCTTGCCCAGCCTGGGCCAGGAGTGGTAACTGCGGAGGGGGGAGGCCAGGGTGTGACGACACTCACCCAAGCCCCAGCTGCTCAGGTCCAGGAACCCCCTCGCCTCCCTTGTGGTGGGTGACAGAAGACGGGGGGGGGGGGCTGTGGTCACGTGTGCACCTCCTCCCCTGCTGCTGCCCCTCACCGTAGCATCACTGGGGGTGGGGGATGGGGCATCTCCTTGCCAAGCCTGGGGCAGGAGAGGTGACTGCGGGCGGGGGCACGAGTCCAACACAGACCCATGCCCCAGCTGCTCAGATCCAGACTCCAGGAAGCCTCCTCGGAGTTGGAGTCGTCTCCCAGTAGGTGCTGGGGGGGGGCTGCCATCACATGTGCACCTCCTCCTCTCCTCCCTCCGCAGCCGCAGTGGCCACCTCAGCCTGCCGCCCGCGCCGGTCCCTGTGTTGTAGCCAGCAGCGGCCGGTGAGGGAGCACTGCGCGGAGCAGCTGGCGGGGCCGGGGGCGCTCCAGGGAAGGCCCATGGGGGCAGCAGGTGGGGCCGGGGCAGAGACCCGGCCCCAAACATTGGTGGACCCAGGCTCCCAGGCCCTGAATATTGCTGGAGCATGAGCACCACGGGCCCATATAACTCGCCGACCCTGCAAGGTGTATTTATGCACGTTCTCAGTTGCAGAAATTTGTCCTGTATTTATTTACTTCTGAAAAACACCAAAAGTTAGATTCTGACTGTGTGGAGACATCAACTGTTATAGAAACCACATTATAATGTTTACTTTGCTTACTATAGATGGGATTATAATAAAAATGTCATAGGAAAGATCCAAATGAGAACTCTAGCCTGTGTTCTTGCACATAGGTTGTTAAAACTTGGGAATTGCTGAGAGCAGATTTAATCGGGCGATATCTAGTACCCCAGAAGCGATACCAGTATGTACTGAGAGCTACAGACGATTTTTCGAAATGGGTAGAAGAATTTCCACTTAGAACTATGAAAGCACATGAGGTGGAGAAGAAGACATGTGAAATGATATATTAACATGGCTGTCCAGAGCAGATACTGGCAGATCTAGGTTCGGAATTGAATAACGAGGTAACAGTTTACATTTGGTGTTATTTTCACTAGATGGTCAATTACAGAATCATGGCCGGGTGACACAGAGCTTCAGCAGACCATGCCATCAAGACAGCAGCAGACTGAATAAAACCACAAATGAATCCATCACAAGATAATGTTAGGGTATTTATTTTCAAATAATCAACGTACATTTAGGGCACTCTGCCATGGATGGCATACTGTGAATAAATCTTCAAAACTGAATTATTACATTGAAAATGTTCATAACACATCACGTTTAAAACAAAAAGTGGTCCTAGCAATGCCATGTGATGTGCCTCCCCTCACACGCTGCTCAGCCAGCTCTTCCAGAAATTAGGTTCAATCGCTAACATCAAGGAATTGGACCAATCGGTCACTATTTTTACAGAGCATTCCAGAAGGTGGTGGACAGAACCCAGAGGAATTGTGATGAATTTCCTGGAGCAACTTTCTTTTCTTTGTACTCTAAACCTCACATGACAACAAAAATAGCACCCTTTTGACTGATTTATGGCCGAGAAGAAAGGTCTTCCAATAAAACGTCACCAAATTTCATGTTATGTGTCATTAAGTGCCAGCATCTTTACTACAATTAAGTTAATTTGTGATGATTGAGTAAAGGAATACAACCCCTTCTCTATTTCTGTATCAAACTACATTTGTTGTGTCCTTAGAACCAAGAACATGGAAAGCCTGGCAGTACTCTGAAATCAACAGTGGACACTGACAGGACATTCCCTGCAAATAATATTTCTAAAGAAAAATAAACCACAAAGATGAGATTATAGAAGACGTTTTTGTATTTCACAGGGGTAGGCAACCTATGGCACGTGTGCCAAAGGCGGCATGCAAGCTGATTTTCAGTGGTACTCACACTGCCCGGGTCCTGGCCAAGGGCCGGGGGGGCTCTGCATTTTAATTTAATTGTAACTGAAGCTTCTTAAACATTTTAAAAACCTTATTTACTTTACATACAACAATAGTTTAGTTATATATTATTGACTTATAGAAAGAGACCTCCTAAAAACGTTAAAATGTATGACTGGCACACAAAACCTTACATTACAGTGACTAAATGAAGACTCGGCACACCACTTCTGAACGGTTGCTGACCCCTGGTATATAAGAATACAGCACTTGAGGTTGGGGACCATGTTTTGTGAGGAAAAGCAAGGAAGGGTCAAATCTTGATTACCGATTATATGCAGCTAGAAAGTGAATTAATGCTGACAGAACTTCAAAGAATATTATATAATCTTGTATGAGTGAATTTAAATATATTGCTTCATTAATTCTATCATTTTTAAGCTATTAATTTTCAAAGGTGTAGTGCAGGAGGTGGGTGTATGTGCCCTGCCTCCCAGAGAGAACCAGTCAAGACAATAAAGGAGGCGGGGGGGGGGAGAGAGAGGGAGAGAGCAGCTGCACATGTGTGTAGTTGTGATGTTTATGACACGTACATTGTAACGGAACAACCCCGTCTGACAATTTAATATTTTATTTTGTGACTGTCAGGGACCGAGATTCCCCTCGACCGGGCAGAGGATCAGGGGAGCCGCGTTTTCACCCTCAGCATGGAGACCAGGATGGAAATAAGGGCGGAGCATCCCGAAGAAGGTGCCAGTGAACGTGAAGAGATGGGACCTGTCAGTCACATTGTAAAACGAGACCTTGCCCGCCCCATAGTCCAGGAAAATCCCCACCCGGCTGGGCCGGACGTTCACGGGGAGGGGGGTCGAGGGGGAGGTGAAGGCCTCGTATTTCCCGTCCTCCAGCCGCACGACCCAGTATCCATCCTCAGGTGTGAGTGTGACCTCCCCCTTCCTGCGCACAGATTCCATGCAAACCCCCAGGTCCCACTCAGTCTTGTCTCCCACCCCCACCTCCCAGTAACACCTCCCGCCCGCCAACCACTCAGCGCCCAGGACACAGGCACAAGGATCAAATCTCTCAGGGTTGTCGGGCAGATCCTGGTGTCTGTCTCCATCTCTCACACATTTCCGATCCTCAGACAGGACGAGTTCGGGATGAGCCGTGTCTGGATCCAGAGTCATGTCCACTGGGGAGAGAGTCACAGAGTCAGGGCCGGGGGCAGCGGCTGGTCACTGGGATCGAAGCGAAATTAACCTGCGTCCCTGTTAATCATTGGGTGTGGGGGGGTGTTGCTTAAGGGGAGTCAGGGCCCCTTTGTCTGTGAGGAGACAATGGGGGGAAAGGGCAGGAGAAGCGGGGGAGGGGTGGGAAGTGTCAGTGGGGGAGGGGGGAGGGGAGAGGCTGATGCTGGGAGAGGAAAGGAGAGGTACAGGTGACAGGAGCAGAGGGGGGAGCGGTACAGGGGAGGGGCAGGTGACAGGAGCAGAGGGGGGAGGGGTAGAGGGGTGGGGCAGGCACAAGGGCAATGTGGGGACAAGGGAAGGGGCAGGCACCATAAGAACAGAGGGGGGGCGAAGGGCAGGATCCTGGGGGCTGCAGGGGATGGGGGGAGGGGTGGGCTCCATGGGAGAAGAAGGGGATGGACCCCAGGGGGCTGCGGGGGGCAAGGGAAGGGGCAGGCACCAAGGGGCAGAGGGGTGTGAGGGAATGGGGGAGCTCCAATGGGGAAGGGGAAGTCAAGGGGAGGGTGAGCTGCCAGGGGGTGAGATGATGAGGAGTGGGGAGGTGGAACCATGGGGGGTAGCGAATGGGCAGGCACTGGTGCCAGGGGGCAGAATGGGGGGTGAGGGAGCAGGTGAGCCAAAGGGGGCAGAGAGAGGGGTGTGGAGAAGGGCAGGATCTAGGGGGGCAGAGGAGTATGAAGGGAGATGTGGGCACCAGGGGGGCAGAGGGAGGATGAAGGGAGGGGTGGGACCCAGAGATTAGGAGAGGGGGAGGTGAGGGGCAGGCCAGTGCTGAGGTGAGGGGAAGGGCAGAGACCGGGGGTCTAAAGGGAGGCAGGGGAAGGGGTTTGCACCAGGCAGGCAGAGGGGGCAAAGGAAGGGGCAGGCACCCTGGAGGCAGATGGTAGTGTAAGCAGAGTCAGGATGAGCTCCACCCTGACATCTGGTGGTGAGGTGTGGCAAGTTGTGGAAAAGAACTTCAAGGGCTGATCTCATTTGCATAGGCACACCCACCACGCCTAGAATGAGGCCATAGCTGCCCAAATGGTCACTTTGGATGCTGTGGGATCCCCAGTGTCTCTGTTATTGGGGCAGGAAGAAAAAATTATTATTACTCTGATTATGGGAATCAAGGACAGTGGAACTGTACTTGGCCTTTTGTTGTGATGGAGGGACTCGCCATCAACTAAGTAGTACTCACTAGGCAAGGGACATGGGTTCCAAAATTCTGTGAATTGAGAGAGGCTGGGAACAGGTATTAATACTTGGTGTTTTGGGTTTCCCTGGTGAGGGCCATATATGCTAATTGCACTTCCTTCTCTCTCCACTGTGGAATATCAGAGCTACTTTTGATTTCATTGGGAGTCTAGTTACAGGCTGCTAAGCTGAATTCACTTTGGGCTAATGGTGCACTAACACTGAGGCCCCCTACTACAAGCTGAAATCACAAAAGAGCTAAACTTACTAAGAGCTGACATCACTGAGTGTTGTGTTAAGTAGTGGGGGAGCCTGAAAATATATGGTGGAGCAGCGTGCGGGACAGTGAGCAGAGCGGCTGGTCGAGCAGAGCAATTTGCAGGACGGCCAGCGGACTGTGGGGTAGTCAGCTTCAGGTCATGTAAGGTGACTTCTCTTCTCTCTCTCTCTCCCCCCCCCCGCCCCCACAGGCACATTTTTACCCAGACTGGGGAGTAAAATTCTGCAGATAAACTTTTGGACTCTGGGGCTGCCCTGACCAGGGACAGAGACTTCTGGGTCATTGGACTTTTGGGACTTTTGGTGATTTTGGGTTGCTGGACTCAAGAACTAAAGGGAAAGGACATGCCCCAATTTGCTTGGGGTGGGTTTTTGCTCATGGGTTGTGTTAGGAATCCTGTTCCTGGTGTTTCCCCAACATAACGCCACATTGTTTCTCTCTGTTATTAAAAGGCTTTTTGTTACACTCAGACTCTGTGCTTGCGAGAGGGGAAGTATTGCCTCTTGGAGGCGCCCAGCGGGGGTAGTATGTATTTGTCCCAGGTCACGGGGTGGGGGCTCGAGCCGGTTTTGGATTGTGTTATTGGAGTGGAACCCCTAGATACTGAACCCGGCCCTTGTTGCTGCCAACTCTGACAGGCAGAAGGGTTACATTTTCAATGGTAGATATGGGCCTCAGGGGGGCAGAGGAGGAGTGAACAGAGGGGCTGACACCAGGGGACTAGAGGGGGGTGAGGGGTGCCGGTTTTAGGGAGGCAGAGAGTGAGGGAAAGGAAGGGGGAAGAACTAAGGGGAAGCTGGCAGGGGAGGGGGTGCAAGGGAAGGGGCAGGCAACAGGGGGTGGGGGCGAGGGAAGTGGCTTGTACTGAAGGGAGAAGTGGGGGCCAGGGAGGGAGAAGGAAGGGGCAGGAACCGGGGGCAGAGACAAATGCTGGGGGGTTGGGGGACAGTGGTGGGGCATGGGATGGGGAAGGCACCAGGGGCTAATGGGCAGGGCGGTGAGGGAAGGTGTGGTCATCCGTGGGTAGGACGGCAAGGGAAGGGGTGGGTGCAGGGAGACTAGAGGGGTACAAGGGGAGGGGTGAAAGCCAGGGGGCACAGGAGGGAGAGCAGATGGGCAAGCAGCAATGGGACAGTGGTGAGGCATGGAATGGGGCAGGCACCAGGGACAACAAGGGGCAAGAGGCAGTATTGGGGGCAGAGGGGGGAAAGGGAAGAGGTGGGCGCCAGAGGGGAAGGGGCAGGTGCCAGGGGACAGAAGTGGGTAAAGGAAGGGGGCAGACAAAAAGGAGGGAAGGGGGTGGGGAGGAGTGGGTGCCAGGAGATGGGGAGTGAAAGGAGGGGTGGTCACGAGAAAGGCAGAGGGTGGGGCAAGCCATGGGTCATGGGGGAAGAGGGGCATGAGGAGAGTGGAGTCAGGGGGCAGAGGGAGTGAGGGGGGTGGTCATCAGGGAGGAAGGGGACAAGAGGAGGGGCAGGTACCGGGGGGCAGGGTGAGTGAGGGAAGGGGTCGGCACCAGGAGAGTGCGGGGGGGGGGCAGGGAAAGGACAGGTGCCAGGGGATTGAGCGGGTTGAGCAGAAGGGCAGACACAGGGAGGGCAGAGGAGGGAGGGATAGGCACCAGGAGGTAGAGAGGGGGGCGATGGGAGGGGTGTGCACGAGGGGCCAGAGAGGGGCGAGGAGAGAGCCAGGGCAGGTGGGTAGAGGGAGGTGTTAGGAGAGGGGAATGGGGAGGGGCAGGATCCGGAAAGTCAGAGTGGGGCTAGAGGAGGGGTGGGCACAGGGGGACGAGGGAAGGGAAGGGTGCCGGGGGTCAGAGAGGGTGGGGAGAGGGACGGGTAACAGGCGGGGCTGAGGGGGGTGAGAAGGGCAGGAGCCAAGACAGCAGAGGAGGGTGATGGGTGGGGGGGCATGGAAGGGCAGAGGGGGTGAGAGCAGGGACAGGCACCAGGGGTGTGGGGGGGGGCGAGAGGATGGGGGGAGAAATAGCTGCAGAGGGGGAAAGGGGAGAGGTTCATTCCAGAAGGTAGTAGGGGGTGAAGTGGGTGGGCTCCAGGGTGCAAAGGATGTTTGGGGGAGAGGGGCAGGTGACAGGACGGCAGGGGGAGAAGGGAGGGGTGAGTTCCAGGGGGGCAGAGGTGGAGGGCAGGGGCACATGCCAGGGAGGCAAAGTGCGGGCAGAGGGGCAGGGGCCCAGGGGAGAAGAAAGGGGGTGAGAAGAAGGAGAGGGGTGAGGATAGAGGCGGGGGCCAGGTGGGCACAGGGGCATGAGGAGATTGGCAGGTGCCAAGGGACAGAAGTGGGTGGAGGGCAGGGGCACATGCCAGGGAGACAAAGGTGGGGAGAGGGGCAAGGTCCCAGGGGCAAAGCAGGAGTTTGGGGTGAGGGTGAGGGGACAGGATAGAGGCAGGGGTCAGGTGGGCACAGGAATCGAGGGAAGAGTAAGGGAGGGGCAGGTGCCAGGGGGACAGAGGGAGGTGAAGGGGGCAGGCCCCAGGGAATCTCTATTGCTTTGGGGCCGTGTGTGGCTGGTTTGTTGCTAAGAGCAGGTTGGTGCCATCCCTACACACACTGGGGGTGCAGCCCTGACCCACGGGGCGTAGCTGGGACTCTCCATGCTAGGGCACGGGCAGGGTGTCTGGGCTTGCCGGAAGGGGTCAGGGTAGAGGGAGATAGGAGTTGAGGGGGTGCTGGGGGGATTAGGGGCCATTGCTAATGAGGCTGGGGCAGTGGGTGGGGGAGGGGGCATTTCCCCACTTGCTGCCCACTCCATCTGGGAGAAGCTGCACCAGGGGCCAGGCCCAGTTCACACCCGTGCAGTGCATCTGCACTCGGGGTTTGCAGTGGGGCACCGACATGGCTGAGACACTGCTGTGCCAGGGGCCAGAACCCCTCCCCTCACTGGGGTTATGGATCAGTATTTACAGGGTCACTAGACCAGGGGAGCTGGAGTCTGGGCTGCCAGGTGTAGCCCGACCCACTGGCCTGCAGAGTCAGTCTCACTCCCACGCTTTGGCCCATGCCCATGGCAGTGTTTAGACACAGGGGGGCGTCTTCAGCAGGAGAGATTGTGGGAGCCCCACATCAGACACCTGGAGCCCAGCAGTTCCAGCCCTAACCTGGATTCCCACATTCCAATTCCTGCCCCACATCCCACAGTCGGATGGAACCGGGGGCTCCCCGCTGAGGGCCCAGCCACAGGGCTAAAGGCTGGAAGGGAAGTGTTGGCACCTCTCTCTGTTCATTGAAACTATTCAGCAAACTCGACATGGATTCAGGAATAGTTTGTCAAACCAAAATATAATTTTTCAGCAAATAAACTATTTGCCCCCCAAATTACACCCAGCTCTATTTCAAACGTGTCCCAGCAACTTAGGAGCCCAAATCCCAGTGACTTGCAGTGAGTGACTGTCAACATCGCCGGAAACGCACAGTTACGGGCAGGGCAGGCTCAGGACATCAGCTATGAAACACTCCAGAGCTGCT